ACAAATTCAAAATTTAAAAATATAATTTTAAAATCTATCAGTACCTATTATAACCTATTTTAAATAATATATTAATATTTTAACCTGTTATTAATTTTATTAATCTAATAATAGATTCCAAAAATATTAAGGTATCAAGGATAAATCTGACAAAACATGCAATGTATGTATAGTGAAAATTATAAAATCTTGCTGGAAACAGCTGAAGAACATCTAAAATTTTTGACTCACAGTATCAAAAAATACATACATACATACATATACCACCTTTGGTCTCCAAATATTCACAGTACTGGTATTAGCTTTATCTTCTGAAAGACACTTCGGGAAAAGGCTCTTTAAAAGACCAAAATTGACTTGCTACCCTGCTGTACTAAGGGACTATTTGAGTGACTTGGACATTTATTACCAGAAAAGGAACAAAACGTGACTTTTTTTTTTTTCTTTTCAGTGCATCTACTATCAGATGCCTAAACAAACCTCAAGGAGCTGAGTACCTGGCCTTCAGCATAGGAATGTCCTCCTCAGTGGCTCCAAAGGTCAGGAACAATTAGTACAAAATAGTTTCATGGTGCAGTGTACTGTGGAATCCTTGTTTAGAAGCCACGAATCAACCCAAATGTTACAACTTTTGGGTGATACATTTACTTTACCTGGGAAAGACTGCAGAGTATCATCAAAATTTACTTACTCAAACTTAAATGTATGAAACAAATGGTCTTATAACTAATTTCTTTACATTCTGGAACCTATATTTTCAGTGATATGTTTGATTTCTGGTACAGAAAAAAATATGAAATTACAATTAAAGGTTCTTTGGTACTACTGAGTTTAAATTAACCTTATTAGGGAAATAGTTCAAAACCCAAATTCCTTTTCCAAAGATATTGTATTTACTTTGAACATACAACCTAAAAATGTTTCCTTCTAAACACAAATGCCAGATTGAAAGGGGAGGGAGAGAGTAGATTTCTTGAAAAGAATTTATTTCTTGGATTCACCAGATTGGTGTGACTCCAAACTTGCAACAGGTATGAAGACCAATGAGCTACTCCATCATCGCAGATTCACTAACGGTGAATCCGTCAACTGAGATCTTGCCTGCATAGCAGAACACCTGAGCCTGGCTACAGCTTCTTCTGGGGAAAAAATCTGAGAACCACTTCTGTGATGTTTACCACACCAGCTACTGCGATCCTCAGAATAGTGACCTCCTTATCACTCTCCAGCCAATATCCTCAAACTATATGGGAAATTCTAGATACACCTTGGCCTCAAAAGAATCACAGGGGCTCTGTGCACTACTGAGGTCTCTTTGCTCTAAGTCATTCTAGTCTATGAATTAGAAGCCACAGTGACTGCCGAGGAATGCTAATCAAAAAAGGAAGAACAACCAGCATTCTGGGAAGTGAAGCAGGAAAATTACAGGTTTGAGCCCAACCCTGGCTACTTAGTGACCCAGAAACACCTGGTCTCAAAATTTTTAAAAATAGGATGGGGATGTAGTTAATTGCCACAGTCCTGGATGTAACCACACATCTGAAAAAGATGCATCCCCCAAAAATAGAGTACCTGGGAATTCTCTTGGCTTCAGGACCAGTCTTAATCAACAGGGACAAGGTAAATATTATTGCTGCCACCTTCCTGACAGGGACAGTTCTGTGGCTCATACTCTCCAGGACGTTCCTCCTTAGGACAGCCTTGACTGGTCTCCTTCTCTTCCCTGTCATATTCCCATTTTCCAGCTGGTTTTTCCTGGGAACTGCTCCTAAAAACAACTTTCATAGGAAAATTTGCCTGAGAATCCTCTCCTGTCAGGAGGTTAGTACGAAGTAAAGACACTTGCTCTGTGCATCTGTCTTTGCCTCTCTCCTCTGAGCCTTTATCCTATACTGGAGGGGCCCTCTGTGCTTCCTTACCATTTAATAACTACTCTTACCAAAAAAGATGGAGACCTTAGATCAATATTTAAAAATCATTTGATACATCACACCCTATAAACAGGCTAAGAAAGGTAAAAAATATCACATGATCACATCAATTGATGCAGAAAAAAAGTATTTCACAAAATTCAACATACTCCTTCATGCAAAAAAAGTTCTCAGAAAAAAGTATGAGTTGAGTAGAACTTCCTCAGTTTAACAAAGAACATACATAACAACCTTCTCCTAACATCATGCTTAATGTAAAAAGCCAAAAACTTTTCCCTGTGATCAAGAGAAAAAAGCAGGAATGTTTGTTCTTATCATTCTTGTTAAGCATCATGTGTGAACAGTGGTGAGGACCGACAGCAGGCAAGCTACAAGCTCTAAAAGGCTTGCCAGGAATTTTAGCCAGTTACACTTGCTAGGCATTTATCCCAGAGAAATAAAAAGTTATATTCATACAAAAAAACACACAATTGTTTATGAAGCTTTATTTGTAATAGCCAAAAACTGGTAACCAAAGTATCCCTTCATAGATGAAAGATCCATACAATGAAATATCTCAGTGATTTTTTTAAAAGTTCAATTATCAATATAGATCACTTTGATGGGTCCTTAGGACAGTATGCAAGGTTTTTAAAAAGCCAATTTTGAAGGTTGCACACTGATTCATTTATACAGAATTATCAAAATGACAAAATTATAGAGGCAGAGAGCAGATTAAGTGGTTATTAGGAGTTAAAAATGGCTGGGAAGCATAAGGACCATCTCTGAATTGAAATGGTGGTGCATCATGCTTGTGGTGATGGTTACAAAAATCTACCCATGTAACAAATGACATAAAGCCATGTACACTGGTACCACTATGTCAAATACTAGCTCTTAATACTGTATTATCCTTTTGTAAAACATACATATTTGAGGAAACTGGGTAGAATATATAAAACTTTTCTCTAACATCTTTGCAAATTGTGGCAAATCTACAAACACTTCAAAATAAGAAAAAAATGTGAGTCATTGATTGTGAGCATCAGCATTGTATGAAGCAATTGTTAACATGTATGTTTTCTGAAAGTACCAACCTCTGACTTTCTTGTGCTTCTTAAATGTTTAATTGTGATAAAGTTTAAATTCACTATCTTAATCATTTTGAAGTGTGTAATTCAATCATGTTAATCCACTCACACTGTTGCACAAATAATGCCCGGAACTCTACATCTGGTATAGCTAAAACTCTACACCATTCAGTGACAACTCCCCACTGCCTCCACCCCTGGCTTCTTCCCGCCTGGACACCTGAGGCTGACTCATGGATCGGGAACTTGGCAGGCTGCATATTTGGATGGGAAGCAGGAGCTACTCCTCACAGTGATAATCTGACCTAACAGCAGTACCACAGTGCAAGCTGTGTGTCAGCCAGCACACCTCCTTTCTCATTCCATTCTCACAGCCCCCTGAAAGTGAACAATTCTTTTGCCTATTGCACAAGTGAGGCAACTGACTCAGAAAGCAAAGAGCCTGGCAATGCACACAGCCTGCCGGGCCTCTCGAATTGACACTGACACGTTTGTTCAAGTTCTTTGTGACCCTGGCTTCAATTTGACTACAAACAGACGGCTTTTTCTTGTGTTTTCAGAACCTGAGACCCAAGGGACAACTTCTTAGTAATGGTTCTCCTCAAATGCTGCAATTCTACCTTGTTCTCAATGTTCTGAAATATGATACCTCGCCTGTCCTAGCTTGGCTGGTACAACAGAAAAATGTAAAGGTGCTTTCCTTTTCCGCGTTTGCAACTTTGTCTGGGTCATAGTCACTCTAAGGTAAGAAGGAGGAAGAGATGGACAAACGTAAGATTTACTGGCCAACAGTAGAAAACTGTCAGATATGTTTGCAAAGAGTTCCCATTGCTTTGCTTTGAAAGATCTTACATCACTCAGTACACATGTTAAAAGGTTCTTGGTGTGCATAAATTGGGTAAAACACACTAATGAGAAATTTCAAACTATATTTCAAGAACTGATGCAATTTTGAAAGAGAAAAACTGAGCACTTGGCCCTCAAAAACAAGTTACGGATCGCATAGTTTTTAAAGCACTAAACCTACTTTTAAAACTTTGAAACCTTAGGGGAACATTGCCAGAGACGGCTTTCAGGGTAATTTAGTGGGGTTCCCGGTTAGAGAACATCTGAGAACATTTTCTCTAATAATAATGGGAGTTGTGCAGTTGTGTAAACCGCATTCTCCACCACACCACTGCCTGAAGAAAAGTATAGCCTGGAAATACTCCTGGGTGACAATACCTCAAAAATGTGGAAAGAACACAGGACATTACCTGTACTTGCAAACCCAGAGGTGGGCCTCCTGACAACGCTCCTACCTTTTCTTTTCTTTCTTTCTTTCTTTCTTTTTTTTTTTTTTTTTTTTTTTAACAAAGTAATCCCTGAAGTGCTGCTGGGATGGCTAAAGGGGCCCTGGGCCCCTTCGAGGGTGAGAGAGGACCAGCTAAAGGCGACTCTGAAGTTTTGGAGAGCCTCAGGCCAACGCGATGGACACAGAAACAGATGCATACTTGCTGCTGGAGCAGCGGTGAGAGGGACCCCCCAAAACCAGAGAAGGGGTCTGCGTGCGGGAAGCGCTGGGGGCGCAGAACAGCAGCGCCAGAGAAGCTCAAGCGCACGACCGCCTCGCCTTCAAACGCAGGCTCTGACCCTGTGTGGGGACGGGACGGGGCTGCGAGCACCTTTCCAGCAAGCGCCCTGGCACGCCACGGCTCTGGGTGAGCGCACTAAGCTGTGAGCGAAACGGGAGCAAAAATTCGGGGCTTTCCGAACGAATCGACGGACTCGCGAGGGAGCGGCAGCCTCGCAGGAGCCCCGATGAGGATAAACGGGACAGACCAGAACAGGGAGGGAGGACCGAGGTCTCCAACCCCTTACTCCGAGTGAAGTTTTTGGAGGGAAAAGGCGCAGGGAAGCGGCTCGTCGAAGGGGGAAGGCGGGAGCGCGGGCAGCGGGACCTGCAGAAGCTCCGGGTTAGAGGTGGGGAGGTGGGGCCGGGCCGCGCCGCGGCGCTTACCTGCGCTCTCCCTGGTCCGTGTAGACGTTGAGGAAGAGCCCCTCCCTGGCCTCCTCGAACACCGGGCCCGCGAACCTGAGCTGCAGCTCGTAGAGGCCACCGGGCCGCAGGGCCTCCCCGAGCTCCAGCACCATGTACTGCGTGTCCTCCGCGAACCACACGTCGTCCACCGGCACGCGACCCGCGGCGGCGTCCCGAGCGCCGGGCGACAGGGGGCCGCGCACGGCGGGGAGCTCGTGGCGCAGGAACAGGCTGTGCAGCAGCAGGCGCGCGGTGGCCGCCACGCAGCGCACGGTGATGTTCGCGCGGCCGGTGAAGCGCAGCCTGTGCGCGGGGAGCGCGTCCGGCCGCAGCCGGGGCCACAGCTCCAGGTCGTAGTGCAGCGGCTCGAGCCAGGGCGGCAGGCGCAGCTGGTCCCAGGGTCCAGGGGGTCGCTGGTCGTGCGAGGGGGTTGGCACCTTTGGCTCTGGGGCAGGGCTGGATTGCGGGGTGGGCTCCCGCTCTTCTGCACCCGGAGGAGGCGAAGGCGCAGCGTCCGGGACCCCGCTGCTGCAGGGCTCTACCTGCCCGGCGCGCGGGCAGTGGCCGTAGAGGCCGGCGAGGATGAGGAGCGCCAGGAGCAGCGCAACGGCCAGCGCGGCCAGCAGCAAGGCCACGGTGCGGCTCACGTAGAAGCCGGAGCTGGACGGGGGCCCCATGGCCAGGTGTCCAAGGAGAGAGAGAGGCAGCGGCGCGACCCCCCGGGGCTGGGTGCTCTGTGATGGGACCCCCAATCCCGCTCCCCTTCTCTCCCACAGTGTCACTGCTTCTGCTCAGCAGTCTGGGAGGACGGAGACGGGAGAGAGCGGCTCCATAGCTTCCTTCTCCTGCTTAATCAGATCCAGGTCCGATTTACCCACCCGCCTCCCGCCCGCTGCGCCGGGGAAGAGGCGGACCCAGCGCCCCAGGGCACGCGCCCCCAGGTCCGAAGGGAGCTAGCTGCGCGCTGGGCTGCTTGGGTTGGCGTGGCCCGACGTGGCTGTTAGGGTTAATGAAGCTTGAGGAAAGGCACCCCGGTTCCAAGTGCTGTCGGGGAAGGCTCAGGTACCAAGCACCTCGACTCCTAGACCACTGCGTTGAGCTATCAGCAACACAATCGCCCGGCCGCCACCCGGGGCTGCGTGTGCCAGAGGATGGGGTGGGACTTGGAGGACCAGGACCCGCGGAGACGCGCTCCCAAATAACTGCGAGGGGCGACCGCGCCGTCACACCAAACATTTGAAGCCAAAATCGTGGCTCCGAAGTCGCCTCCTGAGTGAGCCCGGGGTGCGTGCGCCCAGTCAGGGAAGCAGAACCTGGAAGCAAAGTCGGGAGTCCGGCAGTCTTTCTGGAGCTCAAGAAGCTGGGCTGGAGGAGAAGGCGACAGAGAGCTGGAGAGCGCGCAGCTGCGTCTCGCCGGCAGGAGGGGGCCCCGCTGTATCTCGGGGAGGGGCAGGAAGCTTCCGCTTAGCGCCACAATTTTCCGTGGGACCCTGGCCTGGCTCTTCATACCCTTGCCTGGGGAAAAGGGACTCCAGCTTTCAAAACCCACTCATTTCAGCAAAGGAGATACAACAATCCAGCCGCCAGCCTTTCCACCCGGAAACCGCGGGGCTGGAACTGGTTTCCCAGGCAGTGCCCTCATCAGTGAGGTCTTTGGCAGGCCAAGCATCTGTTTGCTATTTAGCTGCTGCGCCAGGGTGAGTTCCCAGGTTTGTCCCCAGCAGCTCCAGGTCTGCATGCATACAGGCAGGCGAGGTGGTGAAAGGATCAGGAGGTGCCCCGGAAGGAGAGGGTAGTTAAAATATGATCGGAAGCTCAAAGTTTCTTTCAGAGTATGCAGTCTTTAGGTTTTTTCAGGTTGAAAATATTGTCTGCTGTTTCAGCTTTAAAAGGGGCATCGTTTTCATGCTTTTTTTTTTTTTTTTTTTGCAATGATGTCTAGCAATGATGAAACCCTTTCACCTTAGAAACTGGGAAGCTATCATGAGGAACCCTAGGAAATGCACGCCTTCTAACTCCTGCAGCTGAAATTAACAAACCCCTCTGAAACAAAACAGGGAGGTGGAAAGGGAGCTGACATTAAGCTCAGGCAGGTGTATACAGGTCAATCTCCTGGTTCCAGGCTGGGTTTGCTTTCTTCAGAAAGCAGATAATTGGGCTAGGGATTTAGCTCAGCTACACAAACACCTGCCCGGCAAGTGTAAGGTCCTGAATTTGACCCCTGGTCAAAACAAACAACAAACAAAACACCAGGACAATTATATTTAAAAATAATTATGACTACATGCATGACTTGGAGAAGATCCTGCACAGAGCTGATGAAGAGGCCTCTATTTTGCAAACCTACCAAAGTGGTGCTGCCAGAATTGGGATCTACTGCAAATAGCAGGCCTTCTTGGGCTTAGATCAACAGATGGAAATTGTGACAGATGTGGAGCTAATGCACTAATCATGGCCTTGTCATCTCCTTGACAATTTCTTGAAGGACTTTGAAGAATTCCAGACTCACAAAGAAAAGTTAAAAGAAAGAGAGCAAAGAAGTAATAGGATCCTTTCAACACTTAAGATATGTTCCTTCCCTCAGTCGTATGACAGAAACTTTAGTGAAAAATGTACATGTGAAACCAGTATTAATTCCATTTCTCTAACATCATTCAAGAAATAGAGGTTGGCTCCTACCCAAAAATATGTCAAAGTGATAACCACTCGGATGGTTCACCAATTTAAATATTCTATTAATAAGAGAGAACTGTTTCTGATAGATCAATGTCACTCAAAAGAAGTTGCAAAATAGCAATCTGGCTGAGTCAGAATCATGATAACAATTTTTAGAACTGGAAAAGTTTATAAAGTATTTGCCATTCCAGTGACAAAGTAGCTCTGGAATATAGATCATTTGCCAGGAACATATTCACTAGAAATGTTTGAAAAACTTTAATAAGCTGCTTAGAAAATCTGCTTCCTACTCAGATCAGTTAAATCAATGCTCTTCACTTAAAAACATAGGACAATTTTGGTGCTTGTCATGGTTTGAGTCTGAATGGCCCTCATGCAGTCATGGAGGCAGACTTCTAGAGTTTGTGACTGAATCAAGGTCGAATTTTGGGATTATGGCTGTGAGTGCTATACCCAGGTGGGGGTGGCCTACATACAATATAAGGGACAGGAAGAGTTTTCTCATGCTCTTCCACTTTTGCTCTTCCCTTTTTGCTCTTGGTGATTTTGCTGTCCTCTGCCACCATGAACCATTGTTTCCCTGTCACGTATCACCCTGCCTTGGACCCAGCAGATTATGGACTGAAACCTCCACAAACTGTGAGTCAAATAAACTTTCCTTCCTCAATTTTGGGTATTGAGTATTTTGTCTCAGCAATGAGAGTGCTCCTCTCTATTTGGCAATGTTTGGAGACAGTTTTAGTTGTCACAACTGGCAGGACAGTGTGACTGACATCTAGTATGCATGAAACAGCCTCCTACAATGACAAAGTAGACTGCTTGAAATGTCCTTGGTGCTGCTGTCCAAAAATCATGACCAATAACCTTAAAGCAATAACCCAAATCTTTCACATGGCACCCAGTGAAACTTCAGCTTTGCATTTTCTGCTGCAATTTACTTTAGATATGCATGTTTAAGTTGTGCTTTGGCATGGCTATTATTTTTCTACCTTTATTTTTTGGTAACTAGTATGAACCCTTATAATACTTTATTGTACCTTTGGGTCATATGCCTTTTCTTTTTTATTTACTTTTAAATTTTCATTTTTGGGATCAGTGATATATTCATTTATTTAAAAAGCTCATGTACATGTTTACAGAGCATAATTATTACATACCTTGTTAGAAGTTGGTATATTTATTTAACATGTTTTAATTCTTTCTTCATCCCCCCCCATCTTGATCCCCTTCCCATTTGAGAAAGCATATTTTTCTTCATCCTATTATCTATCTTTTATTTTTTTTATTTATATTTTGGGATTCTCATGTAAAATGTATGTAATATTTAACCTTGTGTGTCTGATTTATTTCACTTAAGAGTAATAGGTTGAGAAAAGAGTGAAAAGACAACCCACAGAATGGGAAAAAAGTTTAGCCAACTGATCCTTCTGCCACCAATGGAGAAAGGATCCCTTTTAACCCAAGCCACACCAGCATATGTTATTGGTTAATTTGATGTTGGCCATTCTTTCTGGAGTGAGATAATATCTCAGTGTAGTTTTAATTTGTATTTTTTGAATGACCAATGACGTTGAACACTTTTCATATATTTATTTGCCATTTGTATTTTTTAACCTGAGAACAAACGTTTTGAAAATGGTCATACTCTCAAAACTGTTATACAGATTTAATGATTCCTCATCAAAATACCATTAGCATATCTCAAAGATCTAGAGAAAACATTCCTAAAATTCATATGAAACCATAAGAGACTTAGAATATCAAAGGCAGTCCTAGGCAACAAAGACAAGGCAGGGGGCATCATGATCCCACACTTGAAATTATGCAATAAAGCTGCTAGAATAAAATAAGCATGATACTGGAAAAAAAAAAAAAAAAAAAACCAGACCAGTGAAACAAAATAGAAGATACAGACACAACTACAAACACACTCGGCCACCTTATCTTTGACAAAGGGGCCAAACATGCTCACTGGAAGAAAGACAGACTCTTTAGTAAATGGTGCTGGCAAAACTGGCTTTGCATATGATGAAGACTAAAACTAGAACCATGCCTGTCACCATGCACTAAAGTCAAAATGAATCACAGGTCAAAATGATAAGACAGAAGCACTAAATTTACTGAAAGACAAAGTAGGTAGAAATTTCAAAGACACAGGGTTAAGCCAACAGTTCACGAACAAAAACCAAACTACACTCGAACTACTTCAATCAACAACTGGGATCTCATCTTATTAAAAAGTTTTTACACATCAAAATAAATCACTGAGTGAAAAGAAAACCAACAGATTGGGAAAAAATTTTTGCCAACCAGCCCCCAGACAAGGGACTTTTATCTAGAATGCATAAAGAATTGAAAAAACATCAGGCCCCCCAATAAAGGCCCAATCCAAAAATGGGCATCTGAGATGAATACACTATTCTTCCTTTTCTCACATAGTATCTCTAACACTTTGTGTGTGCTTTCAATATGCACATCAAGCAAATATAAACCATTGTATTCCTTTCCTTTCCTTCTCCCTCAGAATTAGTATACTACATCACAGTTGTGCATCTGCATCTTAATTTAACAGTGGACCATAGCCATCTTTCCGTGTCTGCCCACAGATACAGTCCACATAATTTTCTACAGCTGCGTAGTATTATATTATGTGGATTTGCCATTGTAATGAGTGCCCCATTTGAGTTATATGAAAGGATTCACCAGAGTTTATCTACAAAGGCTTTTATTCTAAAGCAAGAGGCAACATAGCAGGAAAAATAAAAGTACAGGCAAACACTGCAAATCAGAGAGATATCCTATGTGTAACCTTCCCAAGCACCCTCTTTGCACAGTGGGCGACACTGTATCACCTGAGTGAACAAAGTCTGTTAAGGGAATCATGTCTATAGAGAGTGCTGTCTTAGTTACTTTTTTCATTGCTAAGACAAAATACTCAATGCCCAGATTTAAAGGAGGGAAAGTTCATTTCAGCTTACAGTTTGTAGAGATTTCAGTCCACAGCTTGCTAGCTCCAAGGCAAGGGGGCATCACAGAGGAGAAACAATGTCGTGGCAAGCCCAAGGCAGCAAGTGAATAAGTAGCATTAGCAGGCAGCAAGCCTGCCTTCTTTCCTTTTTTCTCTCATCTAGGCTATAAGCATTTTGGGTGATACCAGCCACACCCAGGATGGGCACTTTCATTATCCACACCCGGAACTGTGCTAATTTCAACCAGTGGACTAACTTATTACTACACAACATTAATTCTAGTATCACGTGTCCTAGATCCAGCCAGCTCCAAAAAGCCCGACACACAAGTGCTTGTGACTTTGGCAGGGGGACATCTAGACACATTCCATAATATTCTGCCCTTGTCCCCCCAAAGACTCATGTACATCCGTTTATGCAAAAGGCATTTAGTCCATCTCTAAGAGTTTCCAAGTTCCTAACAGTTTCCTCATTGAAAGTCCCCTCTGAGATGTAAGATAAAATCTTAGTTGTGAGCCCCTATACAACTGAAAAGAACATTAAACACTTTTAGTATGCAATGGCACAAGATAAATATTCCTATTCCAAAAGTACAAATAAGGGGATAGAAAGGAATCAAACTAACCCAAGTCCAAAATCCAGCAGAACAAACATTAAATTCCACAGTCCATGTCTATCCAACATCTGGTAGAATCAGTGGCAAGATGTGAACTTCAAAGGGCTTGGCTGGCTCTGCCCCTACGGCAT